TAATCACTAATTTATAATATTGTCATTTCTAATAATAGACTAACTGCCATGAAATAATATTGTTTAACTAAACTTAGATTTAACTAAACCGCATTAATGATAGTTGAGGTATAAATAATTATTTAATGCAAACGTTGAGGTCAAATTAATAAAATAGAATAAAATACTATAATATGAAGAATAAATGTTATGTAATCATAAAATAAATTTAACTCACTAGGTATCAAAAAATTATATTCGCAATGAAGCAGTAACCTAGAAAGGAACCTTAGATACAACGGATCAATAATATTTCCTAGAAAAATCTTGAAACCCTCCGCAGGATTTGCATCAGGTGTCCATTAAATTGGAGGATTACATTGATAGACTAGTAAAATAGAACGATATCATAGAATTGAAACTCAAAAGCACTTATGCAAGATTTACCAGTGAGGTCACAGCAAACGCCGTCTTGAAAATCGAGGGTAATAGCTTCAAGACTAATCCCAATCCTCGAAGTTTTACTGCGATAGTTGAAAAACTCATCAGGCGACGTTCCCAGCCAGATAAGGTAGACGTTTAAGATACATCAATATGTTTAACCTTTTAGATAGCTTATAAATAAATATGCGTCGCAGGCTTAAACATTCTTATTATATGATCTATATTCTTTAGTGCAATTCTTTATCTCTCGTTTCTATTAAAAAAAGTATTCCTTTTTTTTTTTATACGTCTAATAGCATTCATCATTTTTTTACTATTATTTTGTTTATTTATTAATTAAAATATGTGTATAGATAATACGTATACACACGCACACACACACACGCGCGCGCGCGTGTGTGTGTGTGTGTATGAATTATTACAATATACTATTCTTTTTGTATTGAATAAGCTACAAATCTTCTAGGACTCATAAAATTGATTTTATGAATATCTTACTACGATATTAATTCTAATTGTGTATACTTTATTTAATTTTTTAACTTTCATAATGCAATATGATTGAAAAGCAAAATAATTCAGAATAGATGAAGCTTTCAATATATTAATTGTGCTGATTTAGTAGGTTTTTTATTGAAATTTTTTGAGTAAGACTTCTAACACTTGATGTCCAATTTATTAAATATTTGATATCAGTTTAATTAAATTGCAAAAATCAGCTAAGAAAAAAATTAGCGTTGAAATATTATTGTTAATTTTGTTTACAAATTAAAAATTAAGATAAATGAAGTGCAGATTTTATAATTATCCATTTCATATAATTCTTTTTTGCTAAATTCATTTTCTCTTGATTTTTTTTTTATAAACAATCTAATAAAATAACGCAAATCAGTAGTCGTCGCTGCTATTGAACAATAATATATTCTTCTATTTAAATATAATAATAATAAATTTCTTCTAAATATAATAATAAAATACATTTATATTCTTAAACTACATATATTTTCAACAACAATATACACAGAGTTTCTTATTTATCAAACATTTCAATAAGCTTATTTTAAATACTTAACTTTTCGTAACATAATAATTATAAAAATAATTTTCAAGTTTATTATGATTATATTAAAATTTCATAGTTGTATAAAAATAAATTTGGAAATTATCTGATCTGCATTTGAGATGATATTTTATCAATTTTAAACGCTATACGTAAAGTTAAAAAAAAAAAAAATTTAATTCTTACAATAGTTTATTTAAAAATACTACGATGTATATTATATAATCTATCGGTTCTTGTCAATCAGTAAATTATTATATAGAATTGGAAATGAATATCACCATATAAATATATATCCACTTTGAATATTGATATTCCACTTAGAATATTGAATTTAATTTTAAATGAAACGAATGTTAATAATATATTTTGATTACATTCAATTACATTTGTATTGATTTTAACATATAATAATATTTTAATGAGAACCATATAAGAACGTAGGAATTTCTGACAATTATATATTATTGAAATTAGAACTTTTATTATCATTACATATCGTAACGATTGATAAAACATTTATGCCTACGGACTTATTAAGTATGACTAATATTTATAAGCGCAATTAGTTCATGAATAAGCATATCTATATTTTATATAAATTTAGTTTACACAACATGAATTTATAATATCTTGTTAACTTATAATTGTGAAATTCTTATAAATCTCGAAAATATCTTTTATAATTCATAAGATCTTTAATTTGCAAAATTTATATATATATATATATATATATATATATATATATATAATTTTCAATGGTTTACCTAAATATCGCTATATATCGCGGAAAAATTATGCATAAATGATATTATATGTTTTATCTTTTTATAAAAGTGCAGTTATTTTATTTTTTGACACAACAAATCATTACACCCAATATTAAACCATATTTTTCTAAAAAAAAAAAAAAAAACCGGCACTCTATAATTGCAAAATATTTGTATACTATATAGAAGGGATAAAGTATTATATCCGATAGTTTTATTTTAATTTTCATAAATTTCTATTAAAATTTCTCATCATGTTTCACACACATAAGCTGCTAATGTTCATATGCCTCAAGTATGTCTTAAGATTATGAATCATGACGCTTATTTTTTATAAAATCCTCTTTCAATGCCACTACGCAACAATTACACAATAAACATGAAAAGATAAATCAAAACATTTACAAATATTTAAAGCATTTAATATCATTGTATAATAAAAACGCAACATGTTTTGGACGTTATATGCATGAATAAAGAGCCTTTTACAGTGCTGTGATAGTCATTATTCGTCTCCATATATTTTAGAAATTGGGCTTTACTCTATTTAACTATGTAGTCCTTCACTCATGGTATTAATTTATCGAGGGGTTGGTCGAGGGTGAATAATAATATAATCTCTGAATATGTTGTTGTATGGTGGTCACATGATTATACAAAACCATGGATCAAGGCCATAACTCATCAGGGGGTTGCCAATGGTGAGGCATTCTGAATTTTAATCGTCATGAGACGCAAGCTGTGCAGAGGTAATAGCACATTTTCGATACAGACATGTCGAAATTTGCATTTTAATAAAGAATCTTTCAATTTCTCAACATTGAGAATTGATTGCTACATTTCAATTGTACGTCGGTGCTTTGTTTTTTTTTCTCCCCTCTTTATATTGAATATCAGGTAACACGGAAACGTCTATATTTAATTATTATTGTTTATTTTTAGCGTCTATATACCGTAAGCAACTTGCATTAATCTAATAATTCCAATTGATTATCATTACATATATATTAAAAAGAAGCAAATTAAAAATCAAAAGTTAATAATATTTTTCGATAACTCGTGAACTGATACTCTGCAATTATCTCCATACAGAAAGTATTGCGTTATAAAGTGAAGCAAATTTCAATTAAAAAATTTCTAGCATTTAATTATTTATAAATGATTATGCTTAGATAGAAAACATTAATTGTTTGTAATTGGTTGGAAATTTTAAATATAATAATCATATTTCTGGATTATAAGGAATAATAACGAATTTTTCTTTAATCAAGAAACAATAAACAGATAAAAGCAATAGTCACTAATAGTGATCTACTAGAAAATTATAAAAATTTTATAAAATTAATACGAGTACGCGGACATTTTCTTCTAGTTATTGTTGTTGTTATAATTCGATAATTTTTTTTTTTTAATGTATCACAATTAAAGACACTGATTCACTCCCAGAATTTTATAAATCATTCTGCAGATACTTTAATCTAATACATACTTATATTTTTCAGAACCATATTTTTTTTTTAATTTAATTTTAAAATACTTTTAAATATTCTATCCGTGAAAAGCTCTATCTTACAATTTGGACTTTATCGTATAATGGTAAAGGGATTTTGAACGTCAGGTATAGTTTTTCAATTACAAAGTTTATATGAATTTCAAGAAAAATTTCGAAAGATTAAGCGAAAACTATGTAGAAAATTTATCATTTTAAAATAATTAATCGAATGCACTGTTCCAATAGAGTCCAATTTAGAGTAAAAGCGTATTTTAAAAACAATTGAAAATATAACGTACAATACATTATTTATATTATATCTAATTTATTGAATTTAAATTTCATATTGTATTTATTTAAAATTTACAGTACTAAATTATAATTGACCGAAGAGGCAAAAATTTAAAGCACCCTTGTAAAGTGCCTTGTTTAGATATTTTCCAAAATTAATTTGAAATAATAAAGTCTAGAAATGAAAGTTATTAGAATTATTGGAATTATAATAATTACAATTATCAGACAAAAATATTTCTTATTAATATAATTATCGATTATTCAATAAAATGAGCAAAAGCACTGACATCTAATAGGAAAATATTTTAATTGCATTAAAATTTTAACTACAAGTACAAATATTAGTTTTGACACAGAAAAATGTATATATATATATATATATATATATCTTCTTTTATAAGTATAATTTATTATTACAAAAAAATGAATACTTGTTACTAGGTAGATGCTTATTATAATTTTCTTTCAATAATTACATTTAACATTGAGTTTTAGCGTTCTTTTGTAATTATTAATTACTAGGAATTAATAGATTAATTACTAATTATAATTTAATATATCATTAAATAAATTATTAGATAAGGTTACCGAAGCATTATTTTTAAGAATATTTAATACACTTGAAATGTCGATTTTAAGGTGAATAAAATAAATAAACGAATAATATAATAAAGTGTATTTTTTATACAAAATACAGAATTTTTTTCCAAAATATTTTAATAATCCTATCATTGAAAATGATATTCATGGTTTAAAGTATATTTATATACCCTTAATTTATTTAAAATCAGACAAATAATATTCAGTGATATTGAACGAATTAATAAAATATATACGCTTTTATGCCTTTTAATTCATAACGTAACAGACGATATAATCATAAAATTAATTTATTAACAAACAATCGGAATTTCTCTCCACTCTATTTAATTTTTATTAATTTTTTTCAATAATTAATTATCCTTATCCGTGCTAAGTTAGTCAATAAAAATATCAAAAATACTTATTTATGTGATCCTTTATCATGACACACAATGTGCACAAGCCTTAAATTTTTTAAAGTGAAAAGATTATCGTAAAATTCTAAAACATCCTTTTCATCTATTTTTTCTTGTTTTGAAGCTTCCAATAGTTGCGGTACTAATGTCCTTGAACGTTCAATCCTATAACCAAATTTTACACATTAAAGTATTCCTATAGCTCATACAATTTAATGATAAATAATATTTGTATAATAAGGTATCATATTGATAATATATGCAAATATTATAAAAATATTAATTTACAAATAAATACACTGCATGTCTCTTTTTAAAACTTTTTCCCGTACATACGTGTATTAAAATAATACAATTTTTACAATACTTGAAATAATAATTTACAAGTGAATCGAATTAGCAATTAATTTAAAATTTTCAAATTGCATACAGTAATTTGATCGTATTGAAATAATTTCATCACCATTTACGTTCGTAAATATATGAAATTCTCACCTATGATCTAAATTCCATGTGGAGAATAAAATTAGCTCTTCCTTAGATCTATAAGGATTAATTTTATGTTTTTCATCATACAAGCACTTGTTTAGATTCCACACACCGCTACAGCTAAATTCTCCCGTCACATCGCAAAGAGCTACCATATCTTTTTCCTCTCTTTGTATGAATTTATATGGGCATTTCTTTAATATAACTTGTAGATCTTCGTTTTCTTCATTGCTCGGGTGTAAATTCTCATTCTTGGTGTCTGTCGTTGATCCCGATAGTCTCATTTTCTTTGCATCCACTTCATCTTTATCTAAACCTAAAATATACCTAAATGAATACATATTAATTATGTTTAAGATTCATTAGTTCTTATATTATGAAATATTCTTTTTATTTGAATATTTTTATTTTATTATACACGTTTTAAAAAAAAGAATGTATAAATATTAGAATATTAATTTCACATCATTGCATATATATTTATTAAAATACATGTAAAATTACACTAAAAATATTTCAGTAGTTTAAAGAAATAATACAAAAAGTTTCTGTTAACTTAAATATCATTGTAATGTCGATTTTACGTACGAATAAAAAATAAAGAATACATTTTTATTAATAAAATTAAATATCATATGCAATTTACAATTTTTAATCGATCTTTATGGAGAAGAATAAATATAATTTCTAGAAATAATTTAAAATATTAAATTATCTTATAAATATTGCTATTTGTTCTAATATTGTTAATAATTTGATTATTGAATGATATTTCACTAAGAATATTTACATTATTAAAAAGATTTTGAAAAACTTTAATATATTTAAATGAAGATGTTTACATAATTTAATGTTCTATATTTTCAATAATCTCAATATTACCATTAGAATGAATAGAATTGGCGTATAATAAATTTATTTATAAACTAACATTTATTGAAATAAAGTAATTTAAACTACATATCGATGAAAATTTATAACATTTACAATAGTGAAATGATTAAGTGACCATTTTTACCTCTCATAATCGGAAATGCTCAGCTTGCAAACACAGTGATCGTAACAGCATCTTTGAGGCCCATCTGTGTCGTCACCAGATTGGCTGCGACCGCCACTAGCAGCTGCCGATTCAATGGACCGACTACGGTCAAAGTAATAGCCGAAGTAGTGATCTTTCCTTAGTTGCAGCTTGAAATAAGTTATTACGAGTTGAAGCTGTTTGCGAGCTTTCGGATCCCTAGTAAAGATCTCGGACGATCTAATCTGGCTGATAGTCTTGTAGAGGTAACCTCGAATTCTATCTTGGCAACGACGATGCAAATAAGCCTCCTGAGGGATGGATATATTTGTCTTGACATTTAATATGTACTACAAATCTCAAGATTAAAAATATTTCTCATAATTTGCGTGATTATTTAATTAATAAAGTTAAAGCAAGAGCTTATACCTTTGTTTGCGAATTTGTTTCTAATCCATCAAACCATTCTGGATGATCTTCCCTTTTACTAAACATTGTTTTCTTATCATCCTTATTCAGAATTTTATTAAGTGTTGCAATATTAATTTTCAATTTATCCGTGAGAAATTCCGCGGCTTTTTCCCCTTGTTGAAAAAGACTCTCGTTCGCTTTCCTCAGCATCTGATAAAGTATATCCGCTTCTGTTATAATGATAATTTGACAAATAAAATTAAACAAAGAAATTATAAAATTATACGCTTTAATTGTCATTTAAACCTTGAATGCATTATATAATTTCAATTAAATAATAGTAACAAAACAATATCATAAATTTCAATAATTATTATATTATAATTAGTTGCAAATTAGATAATAAATATATAAAATTAGTAAAATATTAGTAGATTGATTGAAAAATGGTCATTACCAGTTAAAAGTTGTTCGCCCGGTCTGCAAAGTATCAGGGTCGTCTGTGGCTCAACAGTCGCAAAATATTCATCGTCTATTTCTGAACCATCGATTAAAAAAATTCCAATCAGCGCCAAGTCATCCATTATCTGTAATTGAATAATATAAATAAATCAAATTTTATTATTATTATAATAAGTGAAAGGTTGAAGATAAAATTTGGAATAATTAACAAGAGTCAGAGTATAAAAGTGAATGCAGGTATTTTTCAATTCTATTCTATTTTTTACAAACATTGTATTCATTAAGAAATAAGAAATAAGTCAGTTTTTAATTGATATGTTGTAGTCATAAATAAATATTCTTTTCATTACTTTCTAAAGATAGATGAAAAAATTGTATTTAATAAAATACTAATTTTAAATCTATTTCTAATCTAATAAATCTAATCTAATAAAATTTATAATATAACATATTTACATATCATTTCTAGAAACAATATAAACAATGAATTGTTAAACTTTCATCTACTATTGTTCAAGGATATTGAAAAAATCTTTATACAAATCATCTACTCGTAAAATAACTATGTAAAATGATATTTTGAAAATTTTGGCAAATTAGTGCCAAAATAATTAAAGAAACAAAAAGTATAATAAAATATTCCGAATGATAACTAATATACAACTAATAATTGATAGACTAAATTAGAGCAAATTTAATTGAGATAATTAATTTATCGTAAAGTTTCGTTAATTATGTAAAAATTTACGATAATTAACTACCAGGAAAGGAAATACTTATCTCATGTAATACATGCCTCTAGATAAAAATGGTTATATTTATTTATATAATAATCTTTAAAAATTAACAATGCTGTTAATTATTTAACGATTTTCTATTTTTGGATGAAAAACACATGGCAATGGAAGTTCTTGATGAAGAAGCAATTATTATTATTAAAAACCAGAAATGAATTCAATAAATCGCAATTTCACCTCCAAATATCATGCAAATGGATAATGAAATTTTATTAATCCAAGATGAAAATAAAAGCCCTTTGCTATGTGTAGATTACTGATTTTAACCTTGAAGTAAAAATAAAAAAAAATTACAGGCGAACTATCACTGGATTATCATCTGCCAACTAAGCATTCGGATTGAAAAGTACATGCGCGGTGCAACCATGACAATGAAAAATAGATGTGGTAGATTAGACTCCCGAAGGGTAGAGTACTGGAAAACTGGGATATGGCGTGGCCCTGGCCTGAATTGCCAGGGACTCCTTCCAATTCGTTGAAGCTAACAACTGCAATTGGCTTTTCCCAGGCTTCTGCTTCCTTCGTCCGTTCGATAGAGCACCGCCGACTCAGACCATAAACGCTGAAGCACAAATGCTGGGAATCTAGTTCACGCGTACGGACGAAGGACATGATCAAAAAGAGACGAACGATAATCATTATCTTATCGATCGATATCCCGTTACTCTCCTTCCTCCTTCTTGCACGTCTGATGCGCTTTATTTTTATGGCATACCATTTTCTCGTCAAGTTAGCTCGAAAAATAAACGGCAATTGCTTTGGTGAACTCTAGATGCTTGCGCATTTATGCGGGCGTTCATGTTTTTTTATTACACGCGCGCGCGTGTGCTTGGATTTTTGTTTGTTTGTGCGCGCGTGTGTGTGTTTCTGTCTGATCAAGTATGAAAATGCTTGAATAAGAGATGGATAATGCGAGAATAGCGCTTTCTACTTTCCACATGGTTACGATGTAAACGTCATTCAAAATAAAATCCCGATTTTTTATTTATTAGAAATGATGACAATGGTGAACAATTGATTTATATCAGAATTCAACATTTTATTTTACTTTCTAATAATTCATTATACACCCCCCCCCCCCCACACACACATTATAATATATAATTTACAAGTAATTTTACAAGATTGTTTTAACACTTTATTGTAATGGAGGCATCTTAATTATAAATTATTTTTAATATTCTATATTATTTAGCGGTTACTTATATTTTATCGATTCAATTTGTATTTAATTCAAGTATTACGTTGAATTAATTATATTATAAATCTTGTAGAGATATTAAACAATAAGTATTACGTTTTTAAATTACTTATAATTATATATATATATATATATATATATATAAATTATACAATTTCTAGTATTAATAAACAAATTTTTATATTGGAATATTTATTAATGAATAAAAACATCTATCAATTAAAATAATATCGGACAATTTTAAAACAATTAAAAAACATATTACCATCTCCTCTAATTAATAATTAAATAAAAATATATCGATATATTTTACGCAGCTTTTAAGATATAACAAAGATATTATATTATTTTTGTAATAAATAAAGCTATTAAGTACCATAATGAATCAATGTGAATCCACATCACGCAATCAAAGATTATTGAGTTGTTTTATTACTAAGAAGGCTGAGCCCATTTCTTACGAAGACAAAAAAATATTCATATAATAATTTGTTGTTTGTGAGCATTAATTTCTACGACTGTTTTAAATTATTTTTAAACTATTGCTATAAAGTCAATTTTGATATATAATGATTTTAATAATGGGAAGACATTTTAATCATAGAGAAAACTAATAGTTTTTCATCTCGTTACATAAATTTAACAGTAACAAATAATTATAAATGATACGATAAGTTTTACAAAACAAAATTTGTAAATCACTACTTAGCAAGTATGTAAGTATTTGCATTTCACCTTTTATCGTCTGTTAACATATGATGCGCATGAATACATCAAATACATTGAAAACATTGTATACATTGATAATAATAGAATTTTTATGTATATATTAATGTTATATATACATAAATAAATAATGTTGTATATATTGATAATAATGGAATTTGCAATATAATAAAGCAAATAAATAATTTATTCTCAACATAATTAATGATATTTATTCATGAATAACTATTTACTTTTTAATTGTATTTATATAACGTGCCGATTACGGTGATAAAAATCAAACTAAAACATCAAAATAATTGACTAAATCAAAAGTAAAAATATTTATGTCTTGTGTTAGAATATTATGTATTTTAAATTAATATGTTACATTCATGCCTTTTCACATCTATAGCAATTGGCCACATATATTTCAAATAGTAATTATACCGTTTGATTTATCACAAATTTATATATGATTTACAAAAGTAATTAACACACACAGAATAACTTACGTTAAATTTGGCACATGCTTTTTGCTTAAGATCTTGTAGATTACGACATGCGACTCCAATTTTTCTGGTTCGATTTACATCTGTTACTTTGTATCCTTTTAACTGTAACGGTTAAATAATTTTAACGTATTATAATAGTCGGTGTAGTTTAAATGAAATAGGGAATGCTGTTTATTATGAACATTCGTTATAATGTTTTAATTCTAATTTATCGATCTATTTTATATAAAACAATGTAAAGAGAATTTAGAATAAATTAGCATAATAATGAGAATAATTTGCAAAAATATATTGATATAAGAAATTTCATATCTTACAGATGAATTTTTTCTTATAAAGATTTTATTTGTACAGTTATGTTTTAACGACAAATAATAATTAAAATAGAAGAGTTTATAAAAAATGCACATTTTTCTTCGTTCATTTTTAAAAAGTTATTATTAACTAGATTTTATAAGTCAAATTTTTATTTACGATATTTGACTTGCTTAATAAAAACTTACTTTATAAATTACTCATAAACGTTTAAACTCTGCACATTGTTTAACTGTGAAATCGACACGATCATTAGCAATTTAAAGAACAAATGAAAATATTTATTCGATAAAAGAAATTTTGTTTTGCAAAGCAAGCACAAGAGATGATTCAATTTATCACGCAAATTGACCTTTCGTTTTTCATAAGTCCAACATTTCCATAGAAAGTCTAAGGTATTAAAGACAAAAACAATATCTACATCGGAAAGAATGAAAATACATTTTTATTGCATTTGTTAATAATTAGTTGTAAGCCTAATTAAAAAGCAAAAACATGATAATTAAATAAATAAATAAATAAAAAAAATAAAAAAAAACAATTAAAACAATTAAATTTTTGACTATTTATTAGGAATTAATTAGGAAAATCTGCTAAAGGCTCTTCATTATAATATATATAGATATAAGAATTGATGATAATTGTCCTTTTCTACACGCCTTACACCTCTTATTTTCATACTTATAGTCAAGTACATTCGCACCACACAACTTATACATAATGATTCATTATATTAACGATTTATAACGAAATATATCATAATGCGTGTCAATATTCATTCACTCACAAGCTTCATTAATAATAATAATGTGCAATACCGATCCTTGGATTATAAACATCAATAAGCAACAATTTTATTAATTATCTCCTTATCGGAGTATCTTTTTATCGATCCGCTCCTTCTCATTCGTTTAATGAATTAAGAAAATAGTTGAAACGGCAATTATCTCGTGAATCGCAATGTCAAGAGCCAAGATTATAAGCCACGTAGCGTATACATAAGATATTCGCTTAAAGTGTGAAACAAATTTAAAAGACCGACTGCGGCGTTTGAATAATAATTTCAATTTCTCGACTAGGCCCCATAAATCTTATAAATTGCCAGGGGAAAAGCGCTTAACGATGAAATCCGCGTCACCGCAAAATCCAACGAGCAGACAAGTTTAAATGGCGAATGGAATGAGGAGGAGTGGGGAGGTAGTAGACGGAGATAAATAGAATGATATAGCTCATACCGGTTGCTGACTCGACGACGAGTCTCTGAGTCTTCGATAGCACTCGGCCAGCAGCGACATCGTAGTCCCCGCGATCCTATTAAGCGCCGTCGGTCAACCTTTACTCCGGGGTCAGATGAGGAGGCGAACACCGCGACTCCCTCCCAATAACCCCAGCAAGGCTTATACGCCGATACTCGGTCGTGCTCGATCGTTGCCAAGATGAAGTGCCGATGTCCGACCGACCGTTCCGAGTGGATTTCAACTCCAGCGGACTTGGGAGTCGAAACAACCACAGCTGCTGAAAGACGAGTGAGACGTGCGGGCGTCTTTATACAGCTGGGCGCCGCGCATGCGCCAATCCCCTCCGCTTGGACGTATTTCGCCGTTTTTCGCACTCGGCCGCTTTGACGAGACTGCGCGCGTACGACGGTAGACGACGACGACGACGACGACGACGACGACGACGACGACGACATTCGAAAATCGTCGGACCGTTTACTTTCGCGAGCTCGGCTGTTGCATATGGATGGCTGACGAGTTTCGCGAGGCCAGTTGGACGAGACGATATAAACGGTGAAATTGCGCGTTGCCGAATGGAGTTAATCGTCATATTCCATACGCTATTAAGTGATTTCATAACTGATGTAATGCTCGACTTATCCTCTACTGTTGTCATTCTACAGCCATGAAAATTTATATTAATTCTCATTTGGAGACACAGTTTTCTTAGAAACCCCTATATACGCTTGTTCCTTCGTGTTTTCGAATTTCTTATTCGTTTGATTTTCTTCCATTCCGTTAGTCCTCGTGTAATCTAGCTTCGGTTTCAAAGGATATGCGGTCCTTAATTCATTACATTACATTACATTCGTTCGTAGGCAGTGTCCCTTACTTTTCTGCAGCCACGTGATCCGAGCAAACTCACCTCACAAATTCTAATGTTTAGTCACCTATACACAGATGGCAGCATATGCGTCATTACACTACTTTCGATAACTGTATACACTGTTTGGGTGCTATTAATTTATAATATAGAACTATTGTATTTCCATCCCGTACTTGTTTATATTTTGTTTTATCAATCTGTAAAAATGTAAAAAAATTTAATTTGAAAATAAAAAAATAATATTTCTGGTAGAATCAATATTTCCAACGTATAATGTGATATTATTTTAAATTAATAAAACTATTTTATTTATTTTTTTTTTTAAATAAAAACAATAATTTGAAGGAATTAAATGTAATGAAATTATATAATTATATAATGATATAATGATATAATGATATAATGATAAATAATATAAAGAAAACAAAAAAATTTCAAACATTTTTAAAAATTAAAAACGAAAGAAATACAACATTTATAGTTTATTAAATTGAACCACATCAAAGTTAGTGATTCGTAAGAACGTGTGTAATAGCGTAGCTTACGTGTGTGGAGTCGATCACAATTGTATTGATGGTACGTAAGGACGTGTGTAATAGCGTAGTTTACGTGTGTTGAGGTCGATCCTTGTGTATTATACATAGAGGTGATCTCTATGTAAGTGGTGTTTATCTTATAGGACGGCGATCCTGTCTTGATGACTACTTGATTGATTGAACTAGTAAGAGCACGAGAGAGTCAAGTGCAGCTCCTTAAATATTCTCGTACGAACTTGCTGCGCCGATAGCGGATCGGTGGCTGTTGCTATGCCGATATTTGTCGTAGCCTTGTAGGGTTCATTTGTTATTACTTTTCAGAATTATAGTCGTATATTCGAGTTTTTTGGTGAGAAGCATTCTTCGAGTTCGTTTGCCATTTGTTTATAAAACAAATTTTCGCGAGCTCATAACTCTCCCACTTTTATTTCACTTAAAACTGCTACAATCCGTAACACCACGTAATGTGCAAGATAACTAGAGGATACACATAAAATATATACTAATTAGAAAATATAAACAATTACATTTCTAATAATACTTACTTAATGGAATTCATAAATGTAATATTCAACATATAATAATATTAAGATTAGAAAAAAAAAAATGGTAAAATTTATATCTGCAGAACATACGACTGTAAAATATAATAATTTAAATCGATGAAAATTTGTAAAAAAAAAAAAAATTACATTAAAAATTAATTTACAAATTAAGGCTTATTAAAAATACAATTGTTTTATTAATTTTTTCATGTTTAAATAATAAAAACTAAGTCATCTTATGTAAATGGGAAAACTTAAATATAAACAATTGACTGACATTAAGAATAAACACAGATAATTTTATATCTTATTACTATATTTTAGTTTTGAAATCAAAACATTACTATTACCAATAATATTATTGACATTATAAAATTGATAGAGTCCTATAATAAATTTTGTTGGTATTTAATTGCTTGAAATAAAACATTTTTTAATATAAATATTATTTATATTTAAGAGACGAAAAGTTTTATATGATTTTTCACATTCTACGTACAATAATAGTATAAAAAAAAATGAGAATTTTAAAGATTCGCTACACTAAAAATATTATAAAATGTTTTTTTGCTTATATCTATAAATATATGAAAAAATTATAAATAAAGCTAATATTAGTAACTCATCAAATAAAATATTTTAGGATACAGTAATATTTTTTAATATCCTATGCTAGAATATATTCTGTAATTCGAAATTATAATTTAAAAATGTATATTTAATTGCAATCAATAATATTTATATGAAAGAAATTAAATAGATTAAATAGTATTTAAATACAATCAAGTATGATTGTACTATGATAAAATAATTTTAGCACATTTGTTCTTTTTTTATGAAATGATTACATTCAATACATTCACTTTAGTTAAATTTATTTAAAATTAATTTAATTACTATATATATATATATATATATGTATATATATATATATATAGGTATATATATATATATATATACATTTTAAAATATAAAAGTATGAAGTGAAAAATAAAAAAATTAAAAAATCAATCTTCAATTGAAATGGGGAACTTTCAATAACTTTCATTTGTTATAATTTTTCATATGTTTTGCAATTAATCAAATCCATAGCATAAAAATAATAATATTTTCAAAATATTTATTATTTTAAGAAATAGCAAAAGTAGTACCAATAAAATTAATATTATGTATTAAAATATAATAAACATATAATATGTTAATAATGTTCAGATAGTATTTATATAGAAATACATATTAAATTTTTTCTAAAAATACATTAAAAAATTATATCCCTGTTTTTGTCAATTATATTCAAACCTAATTTATTCATAATAACAATTTCGTTTACATTTATTTTAAAATCTTCATATTTAAGAGCCTTGTTTAAATTTATCTTAATATAAATTTACTTTTTATAAATAAAATATTTAAAACATTATTCTATTGCTTGGAATAACCTGGATATCGTAATGGAGTTATATAAATGTAAGATATAATTATTTTAATTATCGATTAAGTAATAAATGTGCGAGTATTATATAATAAAAAAGTTCTATTAAATCTTTAAAATTTATAATATTTTTAAAATAAGTAGATTGATTTAATGATGTAAATAATACTGATGAGTTCAAATTATAGAACTGAAAGATATTTTCACAATATATATAGTTATACTGATGAATTTACTGACCAATTTAAGTTTTATGTACCTAGTATGAAATATTTAATGTTCAGCGATTAAAATTTTTGTAAGCAGTCATAAGAAGAACGAGTGTTTACATATTTCGTAGTTATTATTGGGTCATACGTATTACTAATATTAATATTAAAGAACACTAACTTGGAAATTTATGAGATATAACGTTAAAAGTTCGATAAATGTGTATATAAAATAGTCTGTGATGAAAGTAAAAATACTTATAGTAAGTTGCTCAATAATTAAAGAACCTATGCTTATATATATATATATATATATATATATATATATATATGCGAGAGAGAGAGAGAGAGATCTAAAAATTGTATTTATTAATAAATTAGTAAACAATATACATCTAGATTTTTCTATATGAATTGATTCGTATTTAAATAAATGAGGGCAAATACATGCACAATAAGATAATGATATGATCCCATTCAAAATCATTATAATACATTAACTGTATAAATATATAAACATAAAAGAAATTAAAAGTATGATAAAATTATAATTATTAAATTTATTATACGATAATTACAGTTTTGTCAATAGAGATATTTATAGTATTTGATTTTATATCTCTTAATAACGTATTAATAAAATATTTATTTTTATTTTTTCATATACTACAGATATGCATCAGAAGTCATAAATTATAATATTGAAGTAAAATAAAATATTATAATTATATATGAAATTTACAAACTAGATATAAAATATTGTTAAATATTAATTTTTCAAAAAAGATAAACATTTTATTTTTATTAAAACTCCTATATAAAATCCAATCTAGCTTAAGAAAAATTATTTAAGTAAATAATTTTATATGAGTGTGCTTAAAACTTGACTAATAAATAGTAAATTATGTAAGTTAATATTATCAAATAAGTATATATAAGTGAAAATAAAAAAATTCTTAAAAAAAAAGAAAAATATATATATAAGGATTATATTAAATTTTAATTTTAATAATATTATTCTAAAGTTGAGAAAGGAAATTATACTTTTTTATATCACATTCGCTTTCTATAAAGTTCTATGCTACGATAAATATAAAAATTTTTTTCAACATCTAACTGTCCAGCCTTAGTAGTATTCTTTATGATGTCGCATATCATACATGAAACTCGTTTTGTTGGATTTTTAATATTTTTTATGCTTATCTCTAGTCAACCAAGTGCATACGGTACATTTTCCTTTATCTTCTTTGAAAATTTCATTATGAGCAAAAAGTTCCGGTATATCTATGAATAACATTTAGTTTATTTATTTATTTTTAACATTATTTATGCATTAAATTACTGAAAAATATAATATTACTTTGTTATATCTTTAGATATGTCCTAAAAACTGAGATCCATAATAATTTATATTGAAATTTTTTATTTTACTTTTCAATTACGAAATTATTTTAATTAAAATGTAATGTTCTTACATAAATATTCAATATTATAAAAAATTCAGTGGCTCATAAAATATTTTATTAATAGAAACATTTATTTACAGATTATAAAAATTTCGGTTAATCAATAAATTCCTAAATATGCAGTATTGCTTTTATATTAATATAAATAAACTTTCTGTCATATTAAGTAACATTAGTCTTTAAAAATCATAACAATTTATTCGATTGTTATTATTTTCCTTATTT